AACTGTAACTGAATACAGTTACTCATAATTTGTACTCTGATTACGTAACTCTGGTACATGTAATCTGTTACTCCCCAACACTGCTAATATATCAATACACAGACTAATAACAACCACAACACTCCACCTCACGCGTCTTATGTTCTTTGCTGCAGGTGAGTCACTCAGGTCAACCCAGGGCCTCAAAGGGAACCCAGGACCACAGGGCCCCACAGGACGCCCGGGGCCCAAGGGGGACCCAGGTTTGACCGGGCCCCCTGGTTACCCCGGGCGACGAGGAGAGAAGGGCCGTCCTTTCAACGCCTACACCCGAAGAGTTCTATTCTCCATGAAACGAGAGCTGGGCGAATTCCCCGAAAACGACCAGCCAATGGCGTTCAACAGGTAGGTCTGTAGAGCGGAGGACAGTATAGTTCAACGGTAATGTAAGTTTTCGGTATGGGGGTCTGTTACCTGCTTGTTTTTGTAGATACCTCATTCCTCTGCCTGGAATGTTCCACAGTTTTAACGTTCAACAGCTCTACTTTACATTTATTCAATTACAAGTGGTTTTACAGCTCAAAAATACGTAGGAAAACAGGCATTATGACTGTGAGCGGGGTCGCCTCTCCACAGATCTGACCCGTAACTTGGTCTGGTTTGGTCTCCATGAAGATAGAAAGGTTTAATACCAGGTTTAATAGTGTGAAACATTCCAGACAAAGTAATAACATAAAAAAAACAACAACAAAAAAACATTTACAGTAACTGACCCTCCACCAAAAAAGTTACACAATGCACCTTGAAAGCTGATTAAAGGTGCACTATGGAACTTTTCTAGTGGCGTGTGTTCTTCAGTACTTTATGTAGATGGGAGTCTGGTCACCGGTGAATCTCCCTGGGTTCAGATGGGAGTGATTGACAGGTGGATTAGCCAATCAGAGACGCACATCAAAACAAATATGGCAGTTCACGAGGGAAAAAGGAAAGGAAAAAACACCACAGCGGACTTGAGATTTTATTTGTAAATGATACGTGAACAATGAGCTCCTTCGTTTCACATGCGTCACTGAAAAACAGGTTCCATCAGAAGTTACTTAGATTTATTTTTTACTAGACTACACATAACTTGGGGAAAAAGATGTTGTCTTAAGGCTTATTTGTGCTCCACTTCTGTACGTAAAGAGTTCCAAGCGTAGTGACTGTTAATGATTTACACTTCCAAATGTTTCTAATGTCAAGGCTGCGTTCTCTTAAACAACCACCAGAGGGCGCTCAAAGTCAGTTACAGAATTCTTCATCGAATCTGACGTAAAAGAGTCCAGAAAATTTGTTTTGAAGCTGGTTCTAGTCACTTTTTAAAAGGGATGTAACAATAACCGAAATATCGTGATAACGCGTCCTCAAAAGTTTCACAATATTATCAGAGGCCATCACAATATATATCAAATTATATATCATGTCTTTCTTATTCGGTAAAGCACATTGAATTACTTTGAGTTCGAATTGTGCGTTACAAATAAACCTGTCTTGCCATCACGCAGCAATAAAACAGAGTGAACTACATAGACCATGATCCTTTGGTGTTGTCAGTGCAGACGACATGAAGAAATAACTGTTATTAAGCACTTTTAAATCTTAATTGTTCATATTATAAGAGTACCGAAGGTTGTTAAAGGGATAAAGCATTCACAGTTTTGTTAGCCTCCTCAAAATATCGCAATAAATATTGAACCGTGAGATGCATATCGTGAAAATATCGTATCGAGGGGATTTTATATCGCTACATCCCAATTTCTTAAAAAGTTTAGCCTCCACTGTCGAGCTGTGTTCAATACTGCCCCCAGTGGTCAGCTCATGTACCGCTCTGTTGCGAAGATTTCACAGCCACATTCTGAGGAGGTGGATCAAATGAAGGACAGAAACACGCAGAAGACAGATAGAAGCCCATATGTGCATCTGTAAAAGCATAAATAAGCCTTAAGTGGGCATGCCACTAGTTAAGACCTAGAATATAGGTTAGTCCTGGCTTAGTCCTGGTTTAGTGCTAGTCACAGTGGTAGAAAAGGATTTAAAGGTAGCGAGTCATGTTTAGTTTTCTCTGCCCGTGACTGTAGTTTTCTTGTGTTGCAGGCCCATCCTCTCAGACCAAGCTCCTCAGGGCGTCTCTCTCATAAACAGCTCGTTCGTCTGTGAAACTCCAGGAGTTTACTTCTTCAGCTTCCACATCTCCGTCAAAAGCAGAGTGAGCTGAAGCTGTTCTTTGTTTCACCACCCAAACAGCATTAAAGGGCCTGAACTGATATGATCTGTGTTATAATGTTGTTTTCTCATCACAAACAGACCTCCAGTTGTGTTTTTTTTTTCATGTTTATCACATAAACAGTGCAAATTTAGAGTGAGTTCTTCTCTAAAACTGAAAACACTCTGCTCTACCTTGTGATGTCATGTGGTAATACAGGAAGTGCTCCACTGTGCATTTAAACCCCATACATCTTCACTAGAATCATTTGGATGATTTCAGCCCTGGAATTACCTCTACTGAACTAAAGGTAAAATGTAGCCTAAAACTGCATGACATCACAATGTGGAACAGAGCATTTTGAGCTTTGAAGCTGTAGACACACTAATAATAAAGTATTAGTCAAACATGTGTGAATGAAACACACTCCAATTATGTTTTTGATGAGGTAACAGCATTATAACATGACTTAAAGCTCACAAGAGTCAGTTTTGTGTAATTTGGGACTTAATATTTTGAGCTTTTAATGTTTTAAAATGCAAATAATCATACTCAGAGTTGTGTCATTCACACGAGTACATAGGTGCTGTATCCTCATTTTAGTAAAGTCTCGTGTGAGTCAAGAGTGAGGTTTTAACACACAATCCAGTTTTCATAACTTTGTTATATTTATAAACAAACATGAAGAGCATGTCCCAGGTGAATGCATGGCCTGTAGGCACAGAGGTGCACTGAGGTTGGACAGTTATAAGAGAATTCACAGGTGCCCTGCTGCACTGGAGCTGAGTTTGACATGTGCATATGCAGCACACACATCTGACTCACTCCACTTACTCCCAACCATAGACTCTCTATAGAAATATATTGTATATTTCTGCTTTATACAGTCTATACTCCCAATTGTGGATGGATAAGAAGAATGGACACGCTGTTCTCCTAAAGCGTAGGCTACTGCATTAAATTAAACCTAAACTTGATTACAAAATAAATATCTTATAAATATCTTACACCAGAACATTAAAGAAGGATGCTGTGGGTGGCTCCCATGGACGCTCAGGGCAAACTTAATGTCCATCCAAACATTTCTCATAAAAACACAAACTTTCATTCAAGTACTGGTAAATGCAGTAAACTGCCGTATTGGCAAATCCCATCTACTATAAAAAAGAATATTGTGCGCAGCCAATGGCCCCATTTTCCAAGTCCTGGTCTCGTATTACCACAGTTACATGGTTGGAGTAATTCCAGTTGTTTAAATTCATGTTTTCATGGTTATTGCTAAAGCTTTGGATGTTTCTTCCTCCACAGGTCTGTCTGAAGTTACTGAAGGGCTCTGATGTCCACATGACCCTGTGTGATAACTGGGATGGTTACTTGGTGACCTCTGGCTCTGCAGTGCTCCGCCTACAGGCCGGAGACAGCGTTTCTCTACAGACAACTCGATTCAACCAGATCGTGACCACTTCAGGAAGCAGCCACACGTTTAACGGCTTTCTCATCTACAAAACATGAAATACACAACATTTACACACATGCTTTTGTTTTGTTTTCTTTGAGTTCAAATCACTGAACATATTCATACTTTGCAGCTGATGTCATCAACATTTCCTGGGGGTGTGATGCTAACTGAAGGCACTGCTCTGTCTGAAGCTCTGTTACTCAAGTTAGAATTAATCTGAGCTTTGTTTGAACTCAGTCTGACCATAAAGAGCTCACATAGCTGGAAATACAACAGGCTGTGCTGTTATTTTAATAGATCCAGGCTGGAGTTTTGTTTTGCTTCATTCACACATGTTTAACACACAGGTCCTGCATTCTTCTCTCAAACAGAAAACACCCTGTTCCACCTTGTGATGTCATGTGGTAATACAGGAAGTGTTCCATTGTATTTTTACACTCCACACACCTTCACTAGAATCATTTGGATCATTTCAGCCCTGGAATTGCCGATCTCTACTGAACTAAAGGTAAAAGGAACTGTTCACTTGAGAACTACCACTTCATGACATCACAAGGTGGAACAGAGCATTTAGAGCGATGGAGATGTAAACAGACTAATAATAAAGAGTTACTCAAACATGTGTGAATGAAACAAAACACAACTCTAGGTCTGTTTTTGATCAGGCAACAACATTATAACAGGACTTAAAAAGAGTCGACTGTGAATAATATAGGACCTTTTAAAATGTGTTGTTTACATAAATTGCGTATTTCTTCTTGAGTTTTCAAACAATCTAAAAACTCCACTTGTCTTTGCTAATGTGTGCATTGTGTCTCCATGGTAACTGCTGAACATTCCACAATATAGAGATCCATGTTGAACCCCCCCAGCGTGATGTGACTGCAAAGTATCAATTCATCTGATCATCTTTATATAAAAGTTATTGCAAAGTACGACTCACCAACACGTGAAAACAAGATAAGGACATAACATAGATAGTAGTAGTAGTAGTAGTAGTAGTAGTAGTAGTAGTAGTAGTAGTAGCAGCAGCCTGAAATATGTCTAGCACATCTTTGAATGAAATAAAATATATTACAAACACATCCTCCTTGTCTTACTGTGTGTCTTCTGTTCAGACACTTAGGACATGTGTACACACTGCTGGAAGGTAATGAAGTACAAAAGTAAAAGTACAATACTTAAGTACAATTTACAGTGGGTGGATATTTTTACTTCACTACATTTGAGATCTGGACTTGAAAAATAAAAAGTATTTTTCTTTATGGTTTGAGATCTGTTCAGAAAGTTGAGACTTATTTTAGCACATTTCATTTGAGTTCACGTCCCAACAAAATACACAAAAACACAAAAAAAAGTTTTAAAAAATTAAGAAATTGAATCTCTTAAAAACACCCAAATTCTTTTTTTAAAATCACTACTTTTCACTGCAAAATACTTTTTACTTTTTACTCTTAAAAGGCATTTTTAAACAGGTACTTCAATAATTTTACTTCAGTAGATTTTTTCATGTGATACTTTTACTTTTACTTGAGTAATCATTTGCCCCTGTGTGTGTACTTTTACTGAAGTAACAAACTTGAGTACTTGTATGTAGACACAGGAGCATATGACAGGTTAGACTCCTCATTCCACTAAAACAGAGTTAACATCATTATATTTCAAATGAAACTCCAAATCCTGCCTAGTTTTGTCTAGTTTATTCATGATGGTGATGTTCATCATTTGACCTCCTGGTTTGACGTTGGGCAGCAGAGGGGCCATAGGTGGAGCTACGTTATATAACAACAACAGTGGTGCAACGTAATCAAGTAAAAGTACTAAAGGCAAGGCAAGGCAAGTTTATTTGTATAGCACAATTCATACACAAAGTAATTCAAAGTGGTTTACAGAATAAGAAATACATTAAAATCACAATAAAAACAAATAAATAAAAACTAAAGTACTGTACTGAAGCAACAATTTTAGGTCTGTATTTCACTTGAGAACATTTTAAAGTGGATGTTTTTACTTTTATTTCACCACATTTAAGAGAAGATGAAGTATTTTTTATTATAGTTTGAGAGCTGCTGAAAAGACTGAGGAGTTTAATTTGGATCAAGTTCATAATTTGAGGAAACAAAAATATACAAATAAAAACAGCTAAGAAAAAACAATTGACAAAATTCTGCACAAATCTTAATCAAAATCACGACATTTGAAGCTTTATTAGATCTCAAATACTTGTACTTTTTACTCTTGAAATACATTTTAAACAGATACTTTAATACTTTTATTTAACTTGATTATTTCAGGTGATACTTTTACTTTTACTTGAGTGTTTTTTTTTTGTTTTTGTTTTGTTGCTCTGGTATCTGTACTTTTACTTTAGTAACAAAATGGAGCACTTCTTCCACCACTGTAAAACAACCACAATTTTCACAGATAAATAAAATATTTGTGATTAGAATGAAACATTTTGTTAATTCAAGGTTTAATCTGTCAGTATGTAACCAAAAAGTTACACAGTGCATCTTTAAAACAACATGAAAACCTGTCACATGTACTTTAGGTAAATTCTACTGTTAGATGCTGTTTTACTTTGTGAGCAGGTATTTGTACTTTCTACTCCACTATGTTTCTGAACAAAACTAAAAATTACTTTATCAAAACCTTAAGGAAAAAGTACTTTTGTGTGGTTTTATTTTGATGAAGTTCTTAGTGAAAATGAAAAGTATCAGTTGATGCTTCTGGTGTCCATAACTTAGCACAAACCTTTGTCAAGATCACAACATTTGACACTTAAGTTGTTCTGAAAATCTGTGTAAATTCCTTTTACATTTTGAATCTGTCACATCAAAACATTTCCTTCAGTTGATGATTTTGTAACACCAAGAGGATCCACAGGTAGATTTAATACCAAAGCGAGCCAGTCAGTGTGTGGGTCCAACAGCCATACAGCAGCTTTTATTTACAAAACGTTAAGGTTGATTTAACAGGTGAGAATGTCACTGCAGGGGTGAGGCTCCACCCTAAAGCTGCAGTGAAGGAGACATACTATAAGTGAAAAACAAACAAACAAGGTTAATGCAAAGAAAACCATGACCACAACTGAAAACACCCTATTCCAAGTGCCACCACCACCAATAACTATAAATAAGGTCACCCTCTAAGTGAGCCCCCTCCACACCCAGCTACCTCCAGCCCACACCCCCTGCAGAGCTATGTATGATAAATGAACAACAGTAACTCAACTAAAACTCAAAAAAACAGAAAACCAGCACTGAGCCTGTGAACACAGTGTGGTTAACATCAAATAAATTAAACAATAAGATAAAAGTTAAAAGCATACCTCTGATCAGGACTGTTAAAACCCTTAAAATTATATTTACAAAAATTACAAATTTGTTTTTTAACAAGATTACATTAGATACTTGTTTGGCTCACCAGAAATAGCCATGTGTTAGGCCTGCTCGCGAAGAGGAAGTCACCTGGTTCCCCTCTGACCTTTATAGTCTCTGTCACATACATGGCAGAGACCACATGATCAGCTACTTTGCCACAGTTTGATTTGTGTTTTGTGTTGCTCCTGTAGACGTCTCTGTACTTTTACTGAATCTGAATCAAAGTTACACTGGAGACTTTTACATAACACACTGGTCCAGAAAATGTCAAATAAAAGGATTTATTAAGACCACAGTAGAATGACACCAAATATAATGACAAGACTCCTACAACTTTTGGAAGGTTTTGTGACAAAATCATTTGACCTTTATGCTCACCAAGAAGACCTTTGTACATTTGTACGTCTGAGAAATGCACATGTAGATAGTTTTACACTGAAGGGATTTGACTCTTGAACAACTCCAGTTCACGATCTACCAGTTTCAGCTTCCTCTTCATCACATGTTGTGGACCATTCCAAAGATACAATATTTGAATGATTAGTTGCTATGGCAATGGCCCTAATTTTTCATCCCTCTGAAATCCTTGGACAGAAACACACAGGAGCATCTGCTTCAGAAAGAAACAACAGCAACCTGTGTGAAATCATACAACAAATATAACAGAAAAAGACCATTTTTGGTGAAACATTTATGGATACTTAACGTTTGACATTTTATTTCATTATTTTATTTACAGCTGTCAGACCGCTGGACATCAAACCTGTACACAAAGTTTTTCAGAAAAGTTGGATTTTAGAAAATAAGAAATGAATCTTATGACCTTTAACCTCAGAGCTCTTTCTGCTGCATAAGATCGATAGACACTTTATTTATCACGAAAAAAAATTTTCAGCAGCAACAATGAAACATAAATGAAAATAAATAAATGAAAGATGAGCTTTTTCAGGTTTTGGTGTAACTTTGTAGCAGAGAGTTGAAGTAAAGAATGTAGAGTTATCATTATGCATTTATAACCGTTTAGTTTCACCGTCACACCACAGGACATTTTTAGTGTTTTTGTTTGGTAAGTACACAAAAAGTAAAACACAACTTAAGTCTAAAAGTACATGTGATTTATAGAAGACATTTTTGTGCCCTGTTGAATGTAATCCTTGATGTCTTTGTCTTTGAGTATTCAGTGATTTGTGCAAATTGTCCTTTATAATCGAAGAGAAATAATGACCCACAGTCTTCTGGTCTGAGGGAGGTCACATGTTTCTGGAGACAATTTCTATTTAATCACATGTACCTGGAATCGTTTAAGGAGATGATTAAAGCAAACTGCAGCTTCTGTGATTGGTTAAATCTACCTGTCACTCACTCAGAGCCTTACAGAGGCTGACCAATAGGAGGAGTGGGAGGGATTTTCATATTGTCCCACTTCACCAGAGACACAGAGGAACCAGGACGCCCCAGACCAAAGCCAACAAACAGAGGCTCTGAGAAGGTGCAGCTGAAGGTGTGGATGTGTAACAGGGAACCATCATCATCATAATAACCAGCATTATAGAAGGACAGAACTCCAGCCTCAGAGTCCAGAAACACACCTACTCTACCTGTCCTGTGGCCAGAGTATGTTTCCCTTTTACAATGATAAAAGAGCAAAATCCTCTGTCATTTCTCCTCAGACTCCAGGACTGATCATTGTCTCCAAACCTACAGTCCTCTGCTTCTCCTCTCCGTCTGATTCCTCTGTAACTCACTGCTATATCTACATCCCCTGTCGTCTCCACCTCCCAGTAACAGCGCCCAGTCAGAGCAGTGGAGCTCAGGACCTGGGCACAGGAGCTGAACCTGTCCTGGTGAGAGGGATACAGCTGGAGCTCCTCCACACTGGTCACTGTCCTTTTGTCCACAGACAGCTTCAGTGTGTTGTTGGCAGTGTTTGGATCCAGAGAGACGTCACAGAAATCTGTAAACACACAAATATACTGACATCACTCATTTCATTATTATTACAAAACTTATACTACAAATAATACAGTAGTATACAGAACACAACTAAATATATATGTTACAGGCAAAGCTGATAATCCAGACATTTGTTTTTAGGTAAAGTAGGAAATAAATATTTTATTATCTACTTTGTAGAATTGTGTGACAGATGTAAATTAAAGTAGAAAAAGCAAAAAAGAAGTGCATTATAGAGCTCCTCATCAAACCTAAATGTAACTTATACTACGGCTGGACTGTGACATAGCAGCAAGTAGAGATGTCACTATGTCAGATTTTAATGTTACGATTATTGTGAGATTATTCATGATTATTGACTCCTCGATCAAACTGTGAAAAACATTTTGTTTCATTTCTGTTCTAACCTGTTTTAATGAAATCAAACTTTCTGAAGGATAAAATACATTTGAGACGACATAAACAGTCAGATAAAAAACATGACATGAACTGTACTTTTTGTACAGAATGAACAGAACTGACTCTTGGGCATTTTAATGTCTAAAACGACCAGGCAAAGTAACAAATGACTCATTATTCTCAATTTTGCCTAAGTGACTTGTAACATTAAGGCAAAGTTGAGAATAATGTTACATTATGTTACATTTGCCTGTAACATATAAACTGTAAAAGAAAAGGAAAAAGGGAAATGAATTCTAGATCTCGATGTGGGATGGGTTTATGTAGTTGAGCAGCTACAGAAATACAGGAGGTCTCTTCATCACAACACTGGGATTTCAGACACTCCACTCACTCAAACTGTGCTCCATCATTTGGGACTGTACTCAGTGTGACATTAACACACAAACCCAGTGTTATGGCAAAGGGAAGGGAGACATTTGGGAAAGACCCAGGTGAAAAACAGCTGAGTTTCACTCATGACATCACTTCCTGTTTACTCACATTTCTTCAGACCTGGGACCATCCAGCGCTCTCCAGCAGGAT